GCCTGCGAGGGTCTCACGGCAGGGCGAGAGCGCGTCCGCCTGGCGCCCCGCCTCGCCCCCGGAGCCCGACTGCGGCGCCTGGGTCCTCAGAAGAGCGTGAACCGGCGGGGACAGCCCGGCGGTGGGCAGGCTGGTGGCTCGGGGCCGGCGTGGAGGCCGGGTCCCCGGGGTGTGGGGTCGCGGGCGCCCGGCCCCAGTGCCCGGCGGGACTCGCGGTTGGTGTACAGCTGTGCGCCCGGAAGCTTGGTGCAGAAGATGGTGGTGTGCTGGCTTCCAGTCACTCATTAGGGCAGCTGCGAGGACGGACCTAGCGACCTAAGGGGAACCCGTTTTACGGGGCGTCACCAAACCTGAAATACCGCCCTTGCCACTCGGTTGCCGGTTGCGTGACCTTGGATGGTCACTTGGCCAAGGGGCATTCCATTAGTATGAAATCGGCCTTCCTGGTACAAGGGCCAGACTTGCTCCTTCCCTGGTTAGTAAAGGGTTTGACGATGATTGGCTAGAATGAAGCACCTGGGAATAAATTCCTTCAAGATCAAGGTCATAGCATTCCCAGGAGAACTGTGGCTGAGCACTCCTTCTTCTGGATTCCTTTCCTGGGGGGCCGGGTAGCTTTTCTCTCCTCCCGGAGAACCCCAGCGCCCCCGTCCACCTCAATGGTGACAGGTGGTGGTGGGTGCAGTGTGGCTGGGTGGCTGCCAGCTCTGAGCCAGCCTGCAGGGGTTTCAATCCTGCACCCTTTGTGTAACTGCTCTGAGGTCGCTTACTCCTGTCAAACGTAGGTAAGGATAGTACCTGTGTCCCCTGAGGGACTCCATATTGCTCAGAACAGTGCTGGCACCTGTTACGAGATGCCTGTACGGTCGTCTCTGCTGAGGTCAGACTGCCCTGCTGCGTGGTCTTCACAGGACAGCAGCAGCAGGTTCTGTTGCTCTCTGTTAACCAGTGACTTGCGTGTGCAGCACCTTACTGGTGAAGGGAGGGGAGGGAGACACTGCTGACACGTTCAGATGCCTGTTTGCCGGACCCCTTCAAGATGTAGGTGGTTGGTGTTTTTATACTCAACTCCGTGAAGACCCTGCAGCTCAGAGAGGCCCTGGGACCCTGCTGCCTGAAGGCCCCAACTAAACTTCCCTTGGGTTGATGTTTACCCCTGCTCCACCCAAAAAAAAGAGGGGGTCCGTTAACTGCTGACCTTCTGTCTCACTCAGCTCACCTCAGGCCTGTCATTTGAACTGACAGACAAGAAGGTTCAAAGATGAGAACTCTGGCGGTTCATCTTTTGGTCCTGGCTGGTGACTGTGGGCAGCATCAGATGGGAAAGGGTTTCTCTCTCTGTCATTTCATAACCATGAATATGATTTGTGTTCTGGAGTTATTAAATAGCCTGTGATGAAAACAGTCTTGCAGATGCTCATACAGGTAAAGAAGTATTATGGTGTCATTTCAAGTGAGCTTGCCAGATTTTTAAACAAGTTTTACTTCTTTTTCAGAAAGATTTTAAAAGCAGAATTTTTGCAATTGGAGAAGCTACTTCCACCATTTTCCCTGCAGATTGTTTAGATCACATGTAAGAATTCCTCTTTTGTCTTGACACGTGTCACTGCTGAGTCCACATTTTTTTCCTAGAAGTTTTCAGGAGTCATTCTTAGTGCATAATGAGGAGGTCTCACTGGGAAATGAGGGATCCTTGATTCAGAAGCATTGTTAGTACAGGACTAGAACGTGTTGTGCTTCTCTAGTCCAGGGCATGTTCTCCTCCTGGGTCGTAGGAGCAGGCATGTGCTGGACCGAACCCCCCTGCTGTCCTGACAGCACATCCTCCTCAGATGTGCTGGGGATTCTTCTCTCTTGGGAGGATTGGCAGCTCCCTCCGGTTCCTCACAGCCTCAGGATACCTGGCGAGCACTTCTGCACTTACTTCCTGCTGAAGTGGGAAGAGAGTGGAGCGGCCATGAGCTGCTGCTGCCGGCACGCTCTGACCCACGCCCTCTCCTCACTGGGGCCTGGTCCTGCGTGGGGTGGGCTGCTGTAGGCCTTTCCACCACCTGCGGACCTTTGGGCTGGGTGGTTCCACGTCCTGGGGGCTGTGCATTGTAGGATGTTTAGCAGCAGCTCTGGCCTCTGCCCACCAAATGCCGGTAGCATGCCCCTGAAATGTCTCCAGATACTGCCAGGTGTCCCTGGGGGGTAAAATCGCCCCCATGAGAACCGCTGGGCTGGATCTTGCTTTATGGAACTTGTTTTTATGTTCTTACAGCAGCACGGGGGGTGGGAAGCTGTCATGAGAATGCACCCTCATTTCCCAGCCCTGGCTCTGAACCTTCCCTCTTGAGTGCCGTCCTGTATCAGGTTGTAGGTCATGTCCCTCGGGCCTCCACGAGGGAAGGGAGAGAAACCTGGGTGTGTAGCCCACCATCTTAAACTGGAAACTCCTGCTTTAATTATATTTTTAAAAGTTTTTTCTGATTACAAAGTAATTTATGTTTATTCTCCAAATTGTTCTCTAATCATCCCATTAATATTTTGGTGTATTTACTTCTATTTTTTGCCTTCAAATAGCTGAAGTAAAGTAATATTTTAGAGACCGTCTTTATCCCAAGACAAATCAGGAGGGAGTCTGCACAGCCCAGGAGAAGGGGACGGGCGTTGGTCACTGGGAGCCCAGCTCTGGACCCTGACTCCTCTCCTTGAGTCTCACCTGGGCTCACCTCTGCCCTCATCTGGAGCCTCGCCCAGCCAGGGGGTCCCCAGCTCCACCCAGCTCAGTCCCCCTTCCAGCGGTCCTCTCCTCGTCACGTGTGACAGGCTGGGGAGGGCGAGGCCAGCTCCTAACAGGGTCTGTGGGCATGGTCTCCTGTGTCTTTTAGTTCTCTACAGGAATGTTTAGATTTGTTGCTTTTAGTTTGGTGGCAGTCTTGTTGACCAAGTACTGCCCTGCGATTTCAAAGCCTGGGTTTGTACTTGTTGTAGAAAGTCTGGGTGCCAGTTATATGCCTCAGGTTATAGCTTTCAGTGCAGTTTTCCACACTTGGTCTTGGCTGGATTTGAGGGATCTTGTGTTCTCAAGTGGGAAACACTGGTCAGCATGAGGTGCTTGGACTTGAGAGACAAGCACGCGTGGGTTTTGATCCTGGGTATGCTGTGTCCTAGATGGTGGCCGTAGGCTAGGTCTTAACTTCTTTTTACTTTAGGTTTTTTGCTTTATAGAGGGAGCCAATCCCTCCCTCAGAAGGCGGTTGTATTACATTAAAGACACTGGTCCTCTCTCTGGCCTCTGGGCACTGAAGTCATAATTCCCTTCGTCTTCCCAGGCTCTCCCTGTCAGACCTTCAGAGCACTGTCTGCTCTCCCCTACAGGAGCCTCTTGCTGCCTGTGGCCTCCCAGAATCCTACCACATCTGAAGCACAATTGAAACGCCTTCTTTTCTGGAGAGCCATGCCTACCGCATGTGTCCACCCGACCTCTCGCTCTTCTTGTCTTTCACACCCCTCGTCAGATATTTGACACACGAGACCCGTTGGGTGGTGTGTCCTCTTTGTGCTGGAGCGCAGCTGACCTCCTCATGCCTGGGCCTCCCTGGACATGCGCAGATTGATGTGAGGCTGGGTTCCCTGCTCTCTGCGGGCTGTTTGTGTTTTTAAGTATTATTAGTATTTTAAACTAGTCAGAAAGGAAGAGGCTTTCTAATACCCAGTTCTCTATGACAAATGGGCTGAATTAGAGGCAGTGCTAACCTCTGGGCACATGGTAGCAGCAGCTGGTGGGGAGCTATGTGACCCACCACACACGCACACACACATGCACCCACACCCCCCCCCATCACCCCCCCCACACACCTCGGACCCCTAGCTTCAGGGTGTATAGTGACCGTGGTAGCTGAGCACATCCCATCTGCTCTCTTGCAATCCTCATAACAAACCTAGAAGGCAGGTCCTATTGGCGCCTCCATCTCACAGGCTGCAGAGCTGAAGTCCAGATCCCAATGCCCACGAGCTCTGGCACATGCTCCCTCGGCAGCTCTTGGAGAGCCTTTTGTGGGCACTGTTGGGGGCGCTGGGATGTTGGGAAGAAAAAGACAACTAAGTTGCCTGGTGCAGCTGTGCTTGGTGGGAGGGGACATTAAACAAGTGGACACAAGCATTTCAGAGCCTTTAACGACCGTGATAAAGTCAAGGCAAGTGTGGGACAGTGGGAGGTGTGGGGACCTACAGGGTGGATGCAGTGGCTTTAGTGGGTGGCCAGGCGAGTCATATTTTGGGGAGAAGCTTCGTGGGCTTAGTTGAAGTCTCAGCAGATCCTAACGACATAGGCACACAGTCCCGTTGGAGCAGTGTGGCTTGGGATGTTCCCAAAGCCGTACAGAGAGGTTATGACAGTGGGGCCCCTGAGTGCCTGGGCCAGCGACGCGGACTGCGGGTGCCAGTCAGCAGGCATGGGAAGCAAGCTGGGAAGACCAGTTGGCACCAGAGAAAAGAGGAGGCTGGCAGTGTGCACTTCCCAGCTCGGCGGCGTGGCATTCTCCGTGGGCTTCAGGGGGAGGGTGTGAGGTGCTGGCCTGAACGTGGGGAAGCACAGTTTCTGCAGCGTGACTCTCTCTCAGGTGACTCCAGGAGGAGTGCCTGGCTCGCAGGGGGCACGTCAGCTGTACGTTGTGTTAGAATCTCCCTACCTGGGGACCATTGTTTGAAAACTTTCTGAAAAGAAGAACTATCCATGGTTTCAATAACTACAAACTAATAGTTAATGACTAAAT